GGGACACAGGTTCGTGCCCCGGTCCGGGAAGATCCCACATGCCGCGGAGCGGCTGGGCCCGTGAGCCATGGCCGCTGAGCCTGCGCGTCCAGAGCCTGTGCTCCACAACGGGAGAGGCCACAGCAGTAAGTGGCCCACGTACCGCAAAAAAAAAAAAAAAAAAAAAAGGAATGAAGTAAAGAGAAGATGAAGAGAATGACAGGTAGGCGGGGCTCGTTCAAGGAAGACTTTTGAAGTGGTGTCGAGGTTTTCAGCATTACCTAGGCCAGTCCTTTCCAGGACGGAATAAAATGTCACCTGATCAGAGTGTACTTTCTGAGTGGAAAAATCATCCATAATCTATATAGTGTGACTTTGGGGGCCAGAGAAAGTCCCATGAGCCCGTATTTAGTTCTGCATCCTTTGTCTTATGCTGGGAATTGCACCATTCAGTGATTCCTTCCTCAGCACATCAGGAGGTGCTGGAATCTGCAGTGTAGCCAGGACTCTGGAGAGGCCAGGAAGATGGTGTTTGGTAAACTGGGGCCGGCTTAGAACGGGGTCTGACTGACTACATTGCACATCAATGTAAATACACCTTTCATGAGTGGGTGGAAGCAAGGCTAAAATCTGGTCTCAGCAGCCAGTGGAACCAGCACTGGGCTGGGGTGGACTGGGATTGATGGGAACCTGCTGTGCGACCTTAGGGAAGTCACTGAACCTCTCTGGGCTTCAGAGGCCTTTCAGCATTAGCCCCATGATTCTATTTTTCAAACCCTTTCCTAAGAGTGTAGGGTTAAATGGTGGGTTGATGAGGGCACTCAACTGAGAAGAAAAAGTTTTCACAGAAAGGGGGGAGGGAGGGGGAGGGTAAAGAAAGGGGAAACAGACACAGGTGAGGGCAATCCAGCCACCTGACATCACCTCTGTGTTCTTGAGTGGGGACGGGGACAATTTGGGTCATGAGGAATTAACATGGGACCATTTTCAAGGTGGGAGACAGACACCAGTCACATCTGCAGGTGCCGGCTTGCAAGCACTAAGCGAGGAGCGTGGGACACCGGCGGGGAGACAACGGCACCCCGTTTCTGGGGACCTGGGGCTCCAGCAGGGAGGACATATACTGAGGGGTGTCGAACACTGTGGAGCCATATGAAGGGGGAGAAGAGGATGGAGGGCCCAGAGGCCCCACCCTTCATGGGTGCTCTCTGCCCAGAATCCATCCTGGGAAGGAGTCAGGGACCCGGGCTCCAATGCTCCAGTCATTGTTCCTAAAAGCCAGAGAAAGACCCTAGAAATGTTTGCTGGGAAAGCAATGAGCAAGTATTCAGGTCCATGCCACCCCTGGGAGGGAGAGAGAGCTGAGAGAGACAGCGAGCATGCGAGGGAAAGAGAAGGACAAACAGGCAGACGGACACAGCAAAGCTTCCTCAGTGCCCCATGGCCTTTGCCAGATGTTCCCCTGGAACCCAGAAACTTGAAGATGGCCTCAGGCTTCCGACAGCCTCAAGATCAGGCTTCCGACAGCCTCAAAGGCGGCGTGGCAGGAGTCTGCTGGGCCCTGATGACAGGTGCCACTGAGCCCCTTGGAAAGACTTGAAAAAATCTCAGTGCCTCACTAGGATTTGGTCATAAAAAGAATCAAGCACTTTGCCACTGCCTAACCTTAGGGGATGGATGTTATTTTACACTGAGGCGGGGGACAAGGTTAGGGGACATCTCTGCTGAGGACAGAGGGTGGAGCGGAGAAGCTAGAACTTAGCGAAGGGTGGAGAGGCTTCTGGCTCTGGGACCAGCCCTGTCCCTCTGCCCTGAAGTACCTGGAACCTTTTGTTCTTGTTCCTCTCCATGCCCCCCCCCACTGCCCTGGGGATCCAGGGCACGTGGAGGGATGGGCTGGAATGAGAGCTGGGGCCTGTAGCCTGGCAGGACAGGGCTCCGTCCCAGCCTTCTCATCCGACCTGTTGCTTCAAGAGGAAGAGGGCAGACGTCCACACTGTTGTGACCTCCAGTGACCCAGAGAAAATTTCCTTTATTAGCAGTGGAGCCTTCCTTCTTTTTAGTAGAGAAAAGGACAATCATGTCTTACTTAAGGACAGGGTGTGTGTGTGTGTGTGTGTGTGTGTGTAAGCATGCACGCCCGCACCAGCGTCCCCGTATCAGCGTCTGCACCAGCCTGCAGATAGCCAGCAATTCTCTAAGGGGAAGATAATGGTTCGGGATGGGGAGGGCGAGGGCGAGGAGGGTTCTGACCAGAACACATGGCTCTCTTTTCTTTTCCTCCTACCCCAGGCTCATCCCTGCAGCCCCAGGAGCTGCCCAGAAGCTTCATGCTAGCTTTGCTCAGCCTCACAGGACAGTAAGGTTTCCCGCCAGCACTGGACTTCCCCATAGCTCGCTTGGGTGCCCAAGGTAAAGTTCTGGACTCTTCCACAAACTCCTCAAGCATACAGAAGGTGATTTTCTGGGGACCCTGTCTGTTAAAAATCACATCGGGTTAAAGTATCCCCCAATACATGCTTACTGACTCCCATTTCCCCCAGCTCCTCCCCCACCCCCGCCCCCCGCATATCCATGACGCAAACATTTTCCCAAGAGCCATCTAGGTCTATCAGAGAAGGCCTCTTGAAGAGAGCCTGTGTGGGCTGGAATCCCAGTCTTTCCTCCACAGACTGGTTATCAATATTTTGGATAAGGGTTTGAAGTCTGGTCATCTGTTGTTACTCCTCCAAGTGCTCGGATTGATTCAAAGCCATGTCCCTACTGGGTTTTAATCTAACCAGGGGAGGGGAGGGGAGGGGAGGAGGGTCTTTTAAACATAAAGAGAATTGGGTGCCCAATTCCAGCAGCTGGCTGGATCCGGGGTCTTGACCTCCTCCCCCGCAAACAGCTTCCCTCCCTTTGAGGTGAGAAAGGTCAATCTAAATACAGGAAATTGCAGCCCAGGGTCGGACACAGGGAAACCGTCCACATTTGCATCAGTTTATCACCTCACTAGGAAGGGCATGAGCTAACAGGAAAGAACTTGCTGAAAAACAGTAAGTCTTTGGGTTAAAATTCTCTGGTGTCCTTGGCCGTTCAAGGTAAGGTAATCTCTGGTCTTCTTATATATCTTTTGCCCTTAATTTTTTTGGTCTCAGAATTCACTTAAATACAATGTAATGTCTAAAACCAAGAAGTGTGTTGAAATCGCTGTTCTAAGAGACATGGACTTGGCTTTTGAGAAGCCTCAAAAGCCTCTGGTGGGACAAGTGTCTGAAAAAGGAAGAGGCTGAGCCAGGGAGGCAGTGACTCTAGGTCTTCTGTTGAGAGAACACGCGCGGTCGGCTGCACTTCTGAACTCTCTGGGGCTTGGCTTTTAACAGAATTACCTCGACCTTGAAAGTGTTTCTTTGTTACTTTTCAACTGAGGAATTCGTGTTGCAATCGTAGTCTGTGATAGAGTGTGTTATGGGCCAGAGCACAAATGTTTTGTGTTTGGTTTAAAAAAAAATTTTTTTTTCAAAGGCCGGGAAGGAAAAAAATCATTCAGGGATGGTCCCAGTTCCCAGTCAGAAAGGTGAGAGGCTCTGGTGAGAGGCTTTGAAAAGGGTTCCCACTCTGCCCTTTAACTTCCATGCCCTCCCTCCTGACTGCTCCAGAGCAGAAGACTCAATTGACTCCTTTTGTATCCGGTTTTATTGCCCCGGACCCCTAGGGTCCCGATGTGATTTCAGAAGAAACGTGCCCCTCTGAGCCGCTCTCCAAGGCGTCCTCCAGCGTCCCTATATCTGTCTGCGGGCGGGGAAAGGGAGAGGAGGGGAGGGGAGGCGAGGCGAGGCCGGCCGCGGAGCACCGGATACCGGAGTCAGGATCCCGAGCAGCGCCCCGCAGCCGCGCGCCCCTCGACCCCGAGCCGCGCCTGGAACGCCTTGCGAGCTGCATCGCTTCGCCTTCCAACCCCAGCGGCACACACTGTGCCAACTTGACCAGAGTCCTGGAAAGGTCCGGCAGCGAGACAGAGGTCGGGAATGGAACCCGGGCCGGAGGCCCGCGCGCTCCGGGGATGGGGGTGGCGAAACGCACCACCTGGACTGCCTAGGCTGCCAGCAGTTTTTGCGCCGACCCCCAAGGAGCAGCGAGCTCCGCCCGCGATCAGCTCCCGCCGCCTGGGCCGCGGACGCGCCCTTAGGAACTTTTGTGGCTGCGCGGAGGCGCCCCGCGGAAGGGCCTGGCTCTGCGCAGCGCGCGCGGGCGGGCGCCGGGGGCCGCAGGTGCCCCTGGAGCCGCGCGTCCTGCAGGTACTCGGCCGAGGAGCCGGCGGGGAGAGGCTGGAGGAGCCCCGGGCCGCGCGGGCCCCGCCTCCCCTCCGCCCCGGGAGCTCCCACCGGGCGGAAAGCCTCCCCGGCCCCCTCCCCGCCGGCACCCCGCACTCGGTGATTGGCTGGCGCCGCGGGTCCCTGGCACGCGCCTGTGGATGTAGTTATAAGAATCCTCGCGTGCCAGCCCTCAGCTCCAGCCAGCCGGCACAGCCCTCCCCAGAGCAGCGCGGGCGTCGGCCAGAGTGCAGCGGGCGCGGGCTCCCCAGGGAGGCCGGGGGCTGGAAGCGGGCGGGCAGTCTTCGCCGCCTCCCGCGCCGGACCGTGAGGGCGGGGCTGCCAGACAAGGCCGAACTGCCGCAGCAAACTTCCAGAGACCACCCTCACCCCAGGCCAGCAGTCCCCCGGGCCCTCGGCGGCGCAGAGCATGGACGCGGTGCTGCTAGAGCACTTCCCCGGGGGCCTGGACGCCTTCCCGTCCCCTTACTTTGAGGAGGAGGACTTCTTCACCGACCAGTCCTCTCGGGACCCTCTGGAGGACGGCGATGAGCTGCTGGCCGACGAGCAGGCCGAGGCGGAGTTCCTCAGCCACCAGCTGCACGAGTACTGCTACCGCGACGGGGCGTGCCTGCTGCTGCAGCCCGCGCCCTCGGTGGCTCCGCACGCGCTCGCCCCGCCGCCCTCGGGGGGCCCCGGCGAGCCGGAGGACGGTGGTGGCGGCTACTGCTGCGAGGCGGGGGCGCCCCCCGGCGGCTTCCCCTACTCGCCCGGCTCGCCGCCCTCGTGCCTCGCCTACCCGTGCGCCGGGCCGGCCGTGCTGTCCCCCGGGGCGCGGCTGCGCGGCCTGAGCGGCGCGGCGGCGGCGGCGCGGCGGCGGCGGCGCGTGCGCTCCGAGGCCGAGTTGCAGCAGCTGCGGCAGGCGGCTAACGTGCGCGAGCGGCGGCGCATGCAGTCCATAAACGACGCCTTTGAGGGGCTGCGCTCGCACATCCCCACGCTGCCCTACGAGAAGCGCCTCTCCAAGGTGGACACGCTGCGCCTGGCCATCGGCTACATCAACTTTCTCAGCGAACTCGTGCAGGCCGACCTGCCCTTGCGCGGCGGCGGCGCGGGCGGTGGCGGGGGACCGGGCGGCGGCGGGCGCCTGGGCGGGGACAGCCCGGGCAGCCAGGTCCAGAAGGTCATCATCTGCCATCGGGGCACCCGTAAGTGCGTCCGCCTCCCAGCTGGGGGAGACGGGGACGGGAACGGGAAGGTCCCGGAGGGGCTGGGTGAACAGACCGACCAGCCGACTGACCGACAGACGGACGGACGTGTCGTGGGCACCGGCCACCTTGAGAGCGAGCTGGCGTTTCTGAGGTTTTTTTCCGCCACTTTGACCATGGCTCGGAGGGTGCGCGTCCCCGACAGAATTGCAGCTTCTGGCATTGCGGGGTGGAGGCGCTGGGGGCTTGAGGGGTGGAGGAAGAGGGTCGTTCTAATGGAACCTAAGACGCCTGTCTGTCCAGGCGCCCAAGAGGGGATCCTAACGGACCGGAGGGCACCGTTGGGAACAGAGTTGGACATTCACAGTCTGTTTTCTCTTCTCACCCCCTCAGGGTCCCCCTCCCCCAGCGACCCGGATTATGGCCTCCCTCCCCTCGCAGGACACTCTCTCTCTTGGACTGATGAAAAACAACTCAAAGAACAAAATATTATCCGAACAGCCAAAGTGTGGACCCCAGAGGATCCCAGAAAACTCAACAGCAAATCTTCCTTCAACAACATAGAAAACGAACCGCCCTTTGAGTTTGTGTCCTGAGAAGTCTCAGACCCGCCAGAGGATCTGATTGTGTCTCTGTGCATATTGTACATGTATATAACGTAAATGTAATTTAAGAATCACATTTTTCTAATGGCAATCAACTGTTTGTTATTTATCTATTTATTATCCTGTCGAGTTAATGAAATAGATGATCTCTTTTTAAATATATAATTTATATAATTTATCCTGATTTTCTAAAAATATGCAATAGTCTGTGATTCCACCCAGCACCTTTGGCAGAACTCTGCATTGTTGGAAGAACTCTGGCCAGAAAACTTCATGCTAATTTATTGCCAGATATGGTTTATTTCTAAGCAATGTTAATAAATGCTATTTACACCTTTTTGTAAAAGTTATTTGTTTAATACATAATGGAGTGTAATTAACTTAGTTTAAAAAAAACAAAACCTGAACCAGAGACTCAAACGTAGCTTTTAGTTTTAGCTGAAAGGAATTGGGTTAGAGGGTTAGGCCTCAGTTCTCTTGGAGGCTCTTCATCTGAATCGTCAGCGCTAAATACGTAAATATTTCGCCTGTATTTTTAGCCTACCATCCAAACACCCTATGAGGCAAGGAGGTCATAGACTATTTATTGTTCTCAGTTTTCAGACGGGAAAGCTAAGGCTGGGAGACGATGTTTGTCTTACCCAAGGTCACCGGCACCCTGCCTAATCATAGTGTAGAAAGTGTGTCCGGTGGCAACAGGGGGCTAGTTTCTGGTCTAGCCAAGGGAAGGGGACTTTCTGCTTCCATGGGCTGGGGAGAAAGGGTTGCTGTTGAGCCGCCCTGTGACCCATCCCTTCTGCAGTTACAGCGTCAGGTACATGGAACTCAGATGGGGAAGATGACCATGCTGAGGCCGGAGACCCTGTCGGATGCTTCCCAACAAAACCCAGGGTCTTTTAGGTAAGGCGAGAAGGAGGGCGCCCTCTCTGCCACTTCTGCAACTGGGTTATTTCTGAAATTCACTTGGTTTTGTCTCCAGAATCTAGTCCTCTTAAGGCAAGCAGCGTGGGGAGAAGGCGAGCTTCGGGTGGAGGGCTCAGGGTCGCCCCCTAGCGAAGGGGAGAGGCGTAAGGGCGCGGCCGGGAGAGCCCAGGAAGCTGGGGCTCGGGCTAGTCTCCGCCGCCGCTACCCGGGGCCGCCCTGGCCCTCGGGGCGCCCTCAGCCGGCGGCGGGAGTCGGGGCGCGCGGCTTTGTGTGCGGGGTCCCGCGCGCGCTCGGACGGCGCGGGCGCGGAGGGAGAGGCACCGAACGGGGCCTCGCGCGCCCGGCGCGCACCTACTGGCTGATCCGCAGATCCCGTGCCCCGCAGGCCCTGCGGAGGCGGGGTGTCGCTCCCCTCCAGGCAGCGGCCTGGTCAGCCAAGGTACGATCGCCCTGGTACCCACGGCCCTGCCGAAGGACAATATGTCGGCA